GTTGGTTTCTAGGGGACGAATATCAAACGAACTTAAACACAGTCTAATGTAAATTTTCATCCTGGAACCTTCAGTTTTTACGTGTTCCCAATTTCAGTTTCCGTTTTCATGTCATCTGAGCAACTATTTGTCATATCTCTAAACTCAGTTTCAACATCGCGTATGCCAAAGCAAAATCGATAACATTGTTGTCACTGAAAATTCTGTCAACATCGAATGAATAAATTGCACTCTTGACTTGACTTGAGGTGTAACTACTTGGTTAGGAGCTCCCGCTTTTGAGTGACTTAATTTCGGAATCATTGAAACCAAATAATAATAATGAATGTCTTTTCACTTCCGTTTTTATTTATTGAATATGCAAATGTACAGTCAAAATTCAGGAAGAGGGCCGCACCCATTCAAAGGCTGCCTGAGAAGACCAGCTCTTTTACGAAGAGGCGAGTTGTTTATCGAAGGCTGACATTCACATTTGGATAGAGACTTTGTAATTGAATGTCCTATAAATACTGTCCTCACATGGAGAAGGATATACGAAGTTTTTAGATGTTTTCCCCTGCCGCTTATATATTTTTTAGTATCGTTCAAATGTTTATTTAACAATTAATCATTGTAAAACAACAGTGTTTAGGCAACGACCAATCGAATACGCATACTTGCAAGGTATCAGCAAAAGCAACACTGATCTAACTCGCGATTATAATGCCTTGTCTTCCAGATGCTATTTTTCACACAAAACTGGGCTGAAGAAAGCTACAGCCTGACACTTCACGTGATATCCGGCAGCAAGATCAAACTCAGAACCACTTTAAGATGCTTCAGCATTGCACACTGACAGAGCTAAATTCTACAGGACGAATTACTCTAAAGTGCTTTGTGCAGTTTAAAGCCATTCCGTAAAGGCACTCACTCGACCGATGCGATCAACCGGAGAAATGAAACACCGTGGGTCTTGTGGACCAAAGGTGCATACTGCCCTAGTTTGTGGACAAGCGTACGGATTGGGGCTGTTCAAGGTAGAGAAATGCAGGAAAACAGATACACTTAAAAGTCCGGAAATTCTACGCCTACCGATTTACATCCGTTTTTTATGTCAGCCGAATGTGTGAGGTTTGCACCGGGAACATGACGAATGAAAGAATGCGATTGTTTTTTGGAACTATATGTATTCATGCTAACGAACACGCAGGAGTAGAGACCATTTATTTTCAACGAAATGTTTCCGGGGGCTATTTGTCAGAAATGTTACCGTATTGTCACATTTTCCGTGGCTTAATCAATAAAAAATCTATCCCTACGGAACACATCAAGGCAATTGTTAGATGTTTTTCTTGGTCAAATTTTAAAAGCGTGAAAGTATTTAAATAAAATATTGCCTCAAGTGTCTGAATATAAATGTAGACTACCATGATCGATCTAGCAATATTATAAAAGCACAATAATCAAATGTCAGGAATTGAACGAGTTCTAGTTATAGCGTTTGGATTAGGGACCACATTCTGTATCGCGCAGATATAAAGAGAAAACTGGACGATGCACTTACCGCAATGATAAAAAATGGCACCCAGCATAAACAGAAACATCCCATAATCACACCGAGTGTTTTGATCGCTTTAGTTTCACTGTGACCCCTAGCACGACGTTTTCGTAATGGAACGCGTATACTAGCCCAGCTCGGGGCTCGGCTACGAGTAGGGGGATTGAGCGTGTGATCAGAGGTGCGGTGAAATAGACGACTAGTCGAACGTTCCAAATATGATGGTCGATGGTCCGGGGAATCTTGTTTATGCCCTGGTCCCAAGTGGCCAGTTTCAGAACCCCTACCATTTGCTCCACTAATGGGACTATTATTCCATCCAAATGGTTCACTTGACAACGGGCTACTACTGCGACGATCGTGATGTCCTCGACAAGGCAATCCGAGAAGACTATGGCGGGCGGAGTAGTCTTTGTTTGCGTAATCCGCAGCATTTGTCACAGATCGACGTGCACCGTGCAGCGGACGTGGACGAGGTCGCGGGATGGGTTGATTTCCGGGGCGAGAATGTACCGGATTCGAGGACTGATCTCGATCTTGCTCAACGATTGTCCATGTGGTCATAGCATCGGACACTTGCGATGGACTTGCAATCATACTTGGATCTTCCGAGTAGTATGATATAGATAACTTTGGCGGTGGTGGCATCGAACTTCTTGGTTGGGGTTTATAGTCGAGTAACAATGCAGTTGGGGGTTCACGCATGGTTTGACTATGATGTAAAGGAGAACGATGCTGTTGGCTGGGTTCCACACCATCTGTTCCAGTATTTTCTGTGTTTGTATTCGTGAGCGGTCGTACGCCAGATTCTCGCGATGCACTGCTCTCCCGATTCAGGTTTAGAATAACTGAACTACAATGTCGGGACGGTGGAGCGGCGAAAAATTCCGCCCGCAGCTTTCTCATTGTTTTCACACGCTCTTCAAATTCCTCAGCACATGACAACCCGGACGGGCTTTTAGGTTCTGTACTGATAGAGTCACGATTTGTAAGTGGGATATCGATATGTCTTACGGTGGATTTGGACTGCGAAGGAGCGGTAGGCTGTTCTTCTAAGTAAAACTCTGCCGCTTGTGCCTGACACTCATTGATTGTGTTGCGATGCAGGGGTCTTGGTTTGCGTCTTCGACACAATTCTGATGGTGGTAGAGGATATCGTTCGACCACAGATTTCGTGGTTTTACTCTCTTGTGACTGGGAACGCCGGAATAATTGATTCGGACTATTCCGTTGATTCGGAAGTTCAGTTCCAGTCCCGTCATACATATCGTTCTGATCTCCAAGCATTTTAAAATCATCTGATAGTACCGTACTTGGCCGTCCACCGTTGCGATTCGTGTATACCGATGACGACTGATTCGCGACGGAATCGGTTACTCGTTTCTGTTTTGCATCTTCATGAGCCATATGTCGAGCTAGCATAAAAATACGACCGTACAGTACGATCATCACTATCAGGGGGATATAAAACGCACCACATGTGGCATATATCTGATAGATGATGTTGCTACTGTATTCACATCTGCCTGGGACAAATGTTTCCTTAAATCCAAACATCGGTGGAATACTGATCAAAGCAGATGCTAACCAAACAATGGCAATCATCAACATCATTCGTTTAGGTGTTCGTTTAGCTGCATACTGTAAAGGTCGAATAATAGCCAAGTATCGATCGATTGAAATGGCACACAGATTGAGAATCGATGCAGTACACAGCAGCACATCAAACGCGATGTACATATCACAAATTGCCTCACCCAATGGCCAAGAACCAACAAGCTGACTGAATTCAGCCAGGGGCATGGCAGTTACACCAACCAGTAGATCACTAACAGCCAGACTGACGATTAGAAAANGGAGTGCGCAGTTTTTTCACCAAACTGACAGCCAACACAACCAGTAGGTTTCCTCCAATTGTGATCACTGTGATTAAGCCTAAAAATACGCCCAAACTGATCACATTCGCAGTTGGTTCAGGTTTGACTAATTCCAATTGTTCCGCGATTGACAAATTGGCTTCCATGTTGTCAAATTCCACAAAAAAACAAGCGAAAAACTTGCTCTACATGACGATCAATCAATCACACAGGCTCAGTCCAGGTCGGGATTGGAACAGAGTTGATCACGTAAAGCGTTTTGTTCCGTGTAAGAATGTGGCATGTTGATAGCATGTTCAACTCAATAGTATTCCAGAATCAATCAGTTCATGCCTGCACGTAGCCTCGGAAAGAATCGCCTTTGCGTGCAGCTAGCGAAATCACACGGGCGCGAGCGCGCGTATCCAGCACAAACCTACACACACACGGAGGCACAAACCGACACAAACACGCACACACCCACACAAACAGAAAATGGGGAGAGACGATAGCGATCTCCCTCGGTGATTTTTGTGGAGGCGAATTGACTATTGACAGAAAAGTGGTAACCACTCTATAGGAAAATGACAGGCATGACGAATCTTGATTTTATAACGAATTACATCGCACTCCCAAGTAGCTTGGCATTAACATTTATAGGTCCCGAATTCACGGTTTGCCATGCGCGGATTGGCTGATTTCGATCTGTCTGCGTGTAGCCAACATCCAATCAGATTTTGATTAAAGGCCAATCATAAAAATTAGAGGATTGTCTGTTAGTCTGTCCGCCTATCGTTTACTAACTTCGGTGATTATAGACAGCAAAACGCACAATGCGCTTTTCGTTTCTATGGTAGACAAAGCTGAGACAATGGCAAATTCGTGCGGGTTGACATTTCAATACGCCAGTGTGTACAAGTGTGTGTGTATGTGCATTTTGTTGCCCTTGTGCGTCTCCTGTCAGGGCACCTCTTTCAAAGTGCATATGCACTATCTGCAATGGTATCCAACTGTCCACGGGATCTTCCTCTTATGGGTCGTGAGCGTTTAGATTGTCTAGACCAATTGTACGTGCCAATAAAAGTGGTCATACCTGGGCAGTCGTTTGGTCGGCTAGAAGAAACTGTTGCAAGTTTAAACCAATTCAATCCCCTGGGGACTTTGCTTACTCCAGAGACGACATCGATGGATCTGGTAGCTAAAAGGGAATGTATTCATCCTCTAAAATGCATCAGCTAATAGCACAAACGAATGAGGGAATAAAGAACATAGAAGCACACGGATGCGGATCCATTTATTCAATCGATTTAATTAAATACTGCATGAATTTTGCAGTGGGGCATGCCTATATTTAAGTCAGAAGAAACCGGAAAGCTGATATAGAAAGAGAAGGAGTAGGGTGATTTTTAAAACCGTCGGTTTTAACAAAGATGACTGGAAAAATAGAACTAGTTGAAAGATTAAAATGACTGTGGACCATTCACAGAACGGTTCAGAACGATTCGGTATTTTATAGTATGTGGTGATAAGGTTAATAATGGTGATATTGAGTGTGAGGCCAAACGTATTCCATTGCACGATACAAAATGCGTCCTCAAAGTAATCGATCGCGCTAGAATCGCAAAACTATGTTATACCAAAGTCGAAAGCGTCTATCACAAACTTTGGATTATCATTGAGGAAATCGCCCGATGAAAGCACTACTCTTTTAAACAAACATACCGTTTCAGTAGGTTTCTGAGCTTTCGCTCATCCTCCTATTGGGCACAATAACCACTATTGTATTAGGGATTTGAGTGACTCACATTCTTCCCGAAAGTTTTGGTCTGTTCAGTCGGACTAATTTTGTTTTGTCATTGTCTGTTTAGTTTGTTCCGAAATAACTGCTAGCTGTGTATTGTTTTTCATGACAAGCGCAAGGTCAACACAAAACGATGAACCGCCCCCGCCAAACGACTTCGCTGAATGGGATTGGATATTACATGGGTTTGTTAGCTATGATAATGCTCTGTCGTTTAACCCAGCTTCCCTCGATAAAAGCGAAAATAAACAACAACTGACGCATCTAATGAGCTATATGTTGCATTTATGTTAAATTCAGAGGAGTAACTGAGGTAGATTTCATATTTATGACCAAACGCTGAGTGGAACCAAAGAAGAAGATTCTTGTGCACTCTTGAACTTGACGGAATGGCAGAAAAACGCATTGGAAAATGTGCAGCCCCTAATATGATCAATGCGAAACTTGTTCGTCTCGTCACAACTTTAAGCTACTTCCTTTGAAAAAAGAGGACGAACTACTACTT